GGGTTTTTTTGTGTTGTGGGGGGGGGGGGGTGCAGATCTGTCCTCACAGGGGAGGGAGAGCTTGTACATGAACAAAACTTGGTCTTCTTTTTTTTTTATTATTAACTCTCCTAAAAAGGAGAGAATTTTATTGCTTTTAAATTTCAGAAAAACAGGAAGGGTATATAGCGGGATTAAGAAAAGTGGTGAGTGATGTTTAAATTAGTATATTAGTCCTTTGTTAGTATTTCACAAAGTCTGTGGCTTCTTCTGCGAATAAACGATCCTCTTCCATCTTTACCTGTAAAAAATAAAGACATTAGATATGTTAATAATGTCCTTTTGGGGTTAGTGTTGTCTCTTATCGCGCTTTCCGAACAAAACCTCAGGCGTTGGGGTGCTTCCCTTTTTTCATCTCTCAAGTTATAAGTTGGGCCTTTTGCTGCTTTCCCATCTTCCAATTCTTTGACGTCTCCCTCCGAGCTGCTGTCTTCCTCGCTGCTAACCGCCAACCACTTAGCGAGTTCTGCTTCTTCCTCTTTGCTGGCGTGCCTCTTCAAAAAGTCTTGAGCCTTGAAAATGGAGTCTATCTTTTCTCTCAACAAAACTTGGTCTTAAAGGTGCCACTGGACCCATTTGGGCCGGGGGGCCGGGGGGGGCTCTGTAACTTATCTGGCTGCTTCTTCCTCTGACGGAGGGCTGCTGGGAGCAGGGGGTGGGGTTTATTGCATGTGCCAGCCCCCTGGGCTCTTTACTGCTGGAGCGCCACTCCTGTGCACTCCTGCAGGAAATGACCCCTGCTTATATCCCAATCAAAAGCGGAAGGGATGCCGCAGAGAAGGAACCCAGGATGCAGAGGTACAATGCAAAATGTAAGCAGCTTGAGGGCAAAATGCTTGGCGGCAGAACATTAGCACCTGTAGTCAGGTAAGACTCCTATGTCCCTACTCAGCCCCGGGGAGGGTCCATTGTTCTGAACCTGTGAATGAACTCAAGTGCAGTGATCTCTTTCATATGAGAGAAGCACTGTTAGTAGCACGTGTGAATCTGACACTGAGTTTTGACCAGTAAAGGAACGGATTGGAGCCCCTTCAAATCCCTCAATGTGTGTTTGCAGCTTTATCTGTCAGATGTCTTTCAGCCTCCAGTCCCTGGAAACTGTGATATCACCACTCTGCATGGGCGTTTGGGCTTGCACACACTTCCTTTGCAGTGTCCATATCAGAGGATGGAAGAGATGGCTCCTCCATCCAGGACCCCAGGATGACTTTGTAGAAAAATATTTCCTTCACTGTGTAAAGGAACCTAAGGGCTGTTTCATACTTAAGGGCTCTTTTCAACACTTGATGACTTCACTATCAAGTGATGGCTGGGCAGGGAAAATCTTGCCACTATGGGGCATGTCCTGCCTGGTAACATCTGGATTAGATTACTGCAATGAACTATACATGGAGCTGTCCTTGAAGACTGTCCAGAATTCTGTGGCCAGAATATTGACTGGAGGGGGTCATAGGGACCATATCACTTCAGTCTTGTTCCATCTGTGTGGCCTCCCAATTTGCTTTCTGGCTCAATTCAAGGTGCTGGTGTTGACCTTTAAAGCCCTGTATGGCTTGGGACCCCCCCTACCTTAAGGACCGCCTCTTCCCTTATGAACCTACCCGATCACGCCAGCCCTCTTTGGAGGCCCCACTTCAGGTGCCCCTCCCCCATCTGAGGCTAGACGGGTGGTGACCTGGGAGGGGGCCTTCTCAGTCATGGGACCAAAGCCTGGGAACTCCCTCCCCAGGGAGATTCTCGCATGAACACATGAAACTGCCTGACACTGACTCAGACCCCCCCCCCCTCGGTCCATCAGAGTCAGTCCAAGGTCTCAGGCAGAAAAGGGTCTTTCCCATCACCCCCTGCCTGGTCCTCTTTAACTGGAGACGCTGCCGGGGATTGAACCTGGGACCTTCTGCGTGCCAGGCAGATGCTCTGCCACTGAGCCACTTCTCCTGTCCCCTTCCATTGTTGCCTTCTGCCAGCGGGTGGAACTTTTGTTGCTTTCTTTCCCTTACCAACTCTTATTAATCCTCTTCTCTCTTCGGGTGTTCTTATGTGTTTATACTATGTTTTATTTAATTGTTTTAAATATTATGTGTGTGTGTGTGTGTGTGTGTATGTATTTGTATTTAAAATGCTTTTTAGCATCCCACATATTTTAATGTTTTAGTGTTTTGTTTTAATGCTTGCTACCTTGGGGACCCAGGATTGGGTGGAAAGGGAACACGGAAACGTTTTAAATAAAACAACCAAAATGGCTTGCAAACATGCATGAGTCACCATGGATGAAACTCAACAGGAAGAGCTTCGATATTACCTAATGCCATTTCAAAAGTCAGTCCACACATATCGCTAACAGCCAGCAGGTTTGCATTAATCACAACGTGTGTGTGTGTGTGTGTGTTTGCGCATCTGCCCTGAAGTAACACAGACGTATTCAGGTATGCCCTGGCGGATGGCCCATCTCATCAGAGCTCTGATCAGCCTGGGCATGGCGTAGATGGGGGACCACCAGAGAGGTGGTGGATGCTCCTTTGCTGGGTGTTTTCAAGCGGAGGCTGGACAACCATCTTTCGGGTATGTTGTAGGTATGTAGGGCTCTCTTCCGGCTACGCTCCCGCAGAGTGCAGGGGGGGGGGGTGGACGAGATGACCTGCAGAGTCCCTTCCCACTCTAACATTCTATGATTCCAAGTCCAGAGGGCCGCTCTACGCAGAGGCAGGCAAGGGCAAACCACCTCTGTGCATCTCTTGTCTTGAAAACCCCTTTCAGGGGTTGCCAGAAGGCTGCTGCAACCTGACAGCTCTTCCCACCCCTGTGGGAGGCTGCCCACGTGGCCCAGGCTGGCCCGACCTTGTCAGATCTCGGGAGTTTAGCAGGGTCGGCCCTGGTTAGTGCTTGGATGGTGGATTGCCCAGGAAGCCCAGGGTCGCTCCACAGAGGCCGGCAATGGCACGTCCCCCTCCGAACGTCTCTTGCCTTGGAAACCCCACAAGGGGTCGCCAGACGTCAGCTGCAGCTGGGCGGCCCTTCCCGTCACCGCTGTGATTCGGGGAGGCAAACGCGTGCACGCTTGCGTGTGTGTGTGGCTGAAAAGTTATCAGGGAATGACTAAGGCTCCTCTGTACTTTCACGTGTGGTGGTAGGAAGCCCAATGCCTGTGGATCGCCTGCTCAGAACAGTTTGTTCATCTGGAAGTATTCAGTGAAGCTGCTCACCACCACCACCACTCCCCAGGCATAGGGCAGCTGTGGGGCAGGCCTCCCTTACACAGTGGCCAGGGTCCGGGGCGGCGGACATTGCTAGAACCAAAACTGCTCAGCTGGCATCTGGGGACAGAATGTACTGTCCAGGTAATTCAGCTGTTACTTCCAAGCACTTGAAGGTCAGAATGGCTGCTCAGATGTGCAAGAGGAGCCTTCCTTCTCCTTCCAGGGCTGCCAGCTCCAGGTTGGAAAAGATCTGGAGATTTGGGGGTAGAAGGCCATGGGGCGGGCAAGGTTTAGAGGGGGGGGACGTCAAGTGGGGCATGATGCTACAGAGTCCACCCTGCAAAGCAGCCATGTTCTCCAGGGGCAAATGATCTCTGCAGTCTGGAGATCAGTTGTAATTCTGGGGGATCCCCAGGCCCCACCTGGAGGTTGGCAACCCTACCTCTTTCCTTACTGCAAAGTAAAATGAAATTGTGATCTGTGCTATACGGCTTCATAGGTGGGTCCCTGAATGGGAGAACAACGGGAAAGGTATTTCACGTGACCATTCATTTCAAAATGCATCCCCAACACCTTCTTTTATGTTTGTGCATTTGCAAGCACCTGTTCTTGTGACATCGGAACCTGACCCTGGTTCAAGGCCTGCATTCGAAGCCCTTCTGTGCAGAGGCGGTTTGTTTCCCAGCAGACAGATGACACCCCACAGGGCCCCTGAGTTAACCAGAGTGTCTCTTCCCAGGGCATAACCGGGATCCGTTTTGCTGGCGGAGAGAAATGCTACATTAAAGCTCAAGCTAAAACCCGGGTCCCTGAAGTGAACGCAATGACCAAGGAGAGCCTCTCCTTTGACCTGGTAGGTAGTCAGTGAAATGATGCTCAGATTTATTTTAATGTGAAAAGCTTGTTGAAAGGGGAAAGAAAAGGGGCGTGAGGAGGCCTGACAGGAAAGGGGGGGGGCCTGGCTGTGCTCTCCTCGTTCTGGAGCTTGCCTGAGCCACTGGGGGCAGCACTGAGGTACTCTCCTGCCCGCCATTCAGAATGTTTGCAAGAGAATCTTCTGGAAGAGAAGCCTCACAGGAAGTGAGCAAGGTGGTAAGACTAGTTGCCCTGGTGGTCCAGACTAGGGGTTCCTCAGATCCAGCATGGCACACCCAACAGTAGCCTTGAGCACCTGAGCACAACCTTGGTCCACCAAGGTCAGTACTGTCTACTCGGGTTGGCAGCAGATCTCCAGGGTCTTTCCCATCACCTGCTGCCTGGTCCTTTTTGACTGGAGATGCTGCTGGGGATTGAACCTGGGACCTCCTGCATGCTGAGCAACGGCTTTGTCATTGAGCCACAGCCTCTTCTCAGTTAAATGTCTTGGGAAACTAGTTAGCAAAAACATCCCGCAATCTAAGGTACACTGCCTCTAATTATGGAAGTTCCATTTGATTTGGAGCTCTTGAACTGGATTCAGTGTAAACGCTTGTGTCAAGACTCAGGCTGATCATTCTGTTGGAACCCTGGCCTCCTACCTTGCTTGAGACACTTGTAATCTTTTTTAGCTTTTTGGGTTATTGGTTAATTTCTTTTAATTTTAGAAATCGTACAGTGTTTAGTGGGGGGAGGTTGGTTTTATACTTTATTTTGTTTTATTTAAAATTCTATATTTTATATATAATTTTGTTTTGCCCAAAAGCCCCTGAGCGATACAGACACTCCTGTTAATACTAGGGGGAAGCGGCTTTTGTGAGTCACCCTTCACTTCTTCAGCTGTACGTGGAAGGAGAAATCCAAGCAGGTCTTTCCCTTCCTCAAGCAGCCTGCTGTTTGTTTCCACAAATCCTCTCTGAGGGTCAGGATGGACCTCCAAGAGACTGGGCAGACTCCCCTCCTCCTCCCCCTCCCCCCTATTCTGCTGGCAGCTTGCCCTGTCAGAAGAGGGAAGAGGTGATTCGGCCTGATTCCTGGTGGTCACTTCAGTTCCCTTCCTGAGGCCCTCCTTCCCTTCAGAGAGGATTTTCAGGAGAAGTGGCAGGCTGCTGTGGAAGAGGTGGGGAAGGTTCCACCCTGCTAGCTCCTCCCACAAGCCCTCCCCTGGGCCTGGGCCCCTACACCTGTCAGGGGATATTCAGCACCCTCCTCAAATTGATCGCGTCCTGTTTAGAGACAGCTTCTCAGTCAGGGCCCTGCACCGTATATCTCCTCATAAACTGACTGTGCTTTATATCTTTGATCGTCTTGAATTGACCACACATGGGTTCTCTAGTTGTGTGCAAGGATGGAAAAAGCGGTTTCCGTTACCGCTGCGGGGGGGGGGGGGGAGTTGATAATTTTTGTTTCCCAAACTCAGCTGTTCTGAGCAGGTTATGACATGGCAGTGTTATGTCCAGTTGAGGACATCACGTTTTTAGAAAACTATCAGGGAGGGGGGAAAACTGACGAGAGAGCTTTTTAAACATTAGGGGTGTGAGACTGGTATAATGGACTGGATTTGCCGGAGAGAAAATGGAAAATGCCTCGAAAGCTGCCTGGCAGATGATGGACGAGCAATTGTTGTTTACTGCCTGGGAGGGAAATGCACAGAGTCTTCATCAGAGATTTCTTCAGAATATACTGGATAAACATCCATTAGAGGTGGTTTAAATTTCAGGGACTCCTTCCCCCAGAATTTGGGGTTGGACTTTATTACTCCAGAGATGCATTTTATGATGTTGCAAAAGATTTGGTTTAGAAACAGCTTCCAGTTCCAGTGTGGAGTTAATATGATAGCTCTGATTAAAAGTCTTGCTCAGTAAAAGCAATTATATTGACCAAAAAGTTTGAAGTGTGAGTTAAAAAGAACCTTCGTTTTGAAGTTGTACCCTAAAGGTTTTTCATTCTCAGCTTCAAAGTGATGCAGGAAAAGGGCAGTGATTGAACCAGAAACTTTAAAGAAGCCAAATATTATTTCTACACAAGAGGATTGACGTTGCTTTGCAGGAGTGGAGGTAGAATTGGCAAACGGGGGCATGGATCCAGAGGGTAACATTCTGAATGGCCTCTGTGGTAAAATCTTAGAGATTGATTTTGATACCTCAATAGATCAGTTTTATTTTGCCAAACTGTTTGCTCAGTATAGTTATTGATTTTTGTAACCGGCCCCTCTGCTCTGCTCTCTAGATAGTGAAGGGAAAATGCTTCATTTATATTCTGTTTCTAGGGCTTTTGCTCTCTATATATGTACACACACACACACACACAGAGTGATGAAAGCTTTTGGGGAAAATAGCCTAGCAGTGGAAAAACAAAAACACTGAATTGCTTCCAAACTCAAGATAAATTCCCTCCCGCTCGCTGCATACACTAGTTTAATTGGCCATTTTATATTCCATGTTTGCAATGATAAAATGTGAACCAGGACATTTACAATATAATCTTGTGTGTTTTTTCTTTTTTACTATAAGTGCAAAAATTACCATAATGCAGTGTTAAAATTGCATAGTTAGTCAGAAAATTCCTGAAACGAAAGTGTAATGTTTTTAAAACAGCGGCATTCAATTATCTGAGCGGCCCATCTGTGGTTCCAGCAGGTTTTGCCACAGAAGTGCTAATGTTCTGATGACACCCAAAAACTGGCCTGACAGGACAGCATTCTCCCTTTCTGTGGCCTCAACACCCTGTCCTAGGGGTCCTCACCCTTTCTGAGCCTGCAGGCAACTTTGGAATGCTGACATAGGGTAGTGGGGGCAACTACAAAATGGCTGCCTCAGGAGGCAGAACCAGCTACGCACAGGAAGCTCAGTCCCGGACTCAATCACTCTCACGACACTTTTGTAGCAGCAAGATTTGTTCATTTGGAGGTTAAGAGATTCCAAGCATAGACAGATTCTGTGTCAGAACTGGCCACCTGATGCCAGGTTTGGCCCTGTACTAAAAGCAGGACAGCCCCCTATGCATACCACCCAATCAAGAATTGCAGTCAGCCCGCCAAAGCTCGAGGCCTGCCTCTCAGGCTGGCCCACACCTGCAAGCTAACGGTTACATTCCAAGGTCAAGCGAGGCGCTGAGGTCATGCACTTCCCAGGGTCTTGCACACACTATGTAAGCTCAAGCAGACATTCACACCGCCATCCACTCCCCCCCACCCCAATCCTGGCAGAAAAGATAAACGGCACTGGAGATAAAAACAGTGAAAGAAGCACGTCTAAGAATGCATTTAACCCCTAACACAGCAGACCAGTAGTCTGGCTGGACAGCATTCTATGGCAAGTGAGGCCCGAGCTTGACATTCTGCTCCCCCCCCCCCAAGACCTTCCCTCACCCTCCAGGTTTGTAAGGATATTTCTTATGGAAAGCATGAACTAATTGCTTGGCCTGCACGTGGTTTTCCGGAACCCATTCATTATGGCTATGATCAAAGTCACGCCATTTTATCAAATAGTGTAAGTGGCCCCTCTTGAATTTAGAGTCCAAGATGTCTTCCACCACCTGGTGGAGTTCCCCGTCCACCCTCAGGGGTGGTGGAGCCGGAGGTTGGGGTCTCCACGTTGAGGGTCCAGGATCGTTCTTCAGCAGACTAAAATGGAAAACAGGATGAATGTGACGTAAGTTCTTGGGCAAGTCCCATTCAACAGCCACCTTGTTAATGACAAGTAGAACTTTAAAAGGCCCCACATATTTCCATCCAAGTTTTTTTACCAGGTTGTAACCCCTTTAAGTTCTTAGTGGACATGTATACAGAGTCCCCCAGGGTGTAGGTCCCACACGGGTGACCTGCCCTTTTCGGCCTGGGTTTTATTATCCTCTTTCGCTTTAGTCAAACTTTGGCTGGACAGTGTTCTGTGGCAAGCGAGGCCCGAGCTTGACAGTAAGGGGTGAAGAGGGGTAATTTTAAAACTAAACGGGGAAAGAGGAGTGGGGAAGAATCAAACCAGCCCTGTGGTGGCAGCTGCCACTGAATCAATGTTAGTATAGTCTGCCTTGCCAATCAGATCTCCAGTGGCCAATCAGAAGCCCAGCTGGGCAGTAGCTCCACCTGGCCCTGCCCACTTTGTAAAAACACTGGGTGGGCCCCAGGAAAGGCCCTGGCAGGTGCTGTGGCGCCCACAGGCACGATGCCGGGGGGCCCTGCCATGTCCTTCCTGAGGTCTCAAGTGGCTTCTGCTGTGACACAGCCCAGTTTTAAAAGTGCATCTTACCACACAAGTGTCTTGTATGCAACATACTTCCATAAATGGTTAAAAGTGACAGCTCCTTGGCAAAGTAACACACACATACACACAGCTTCCCCCCACCCACCCCCGGCATCTTTTTTCTTATTGGAGTCAGTAACAATCCTTCCCTTAAGCTCCGTGGAACTGAGTTCCAGCTAATCCCACGTGGAACTGAAATTGGAAAGAGCGAAAATCACTTGAAATGGAAAATAGCTCTGTGTGACGAGCAGGTAGAAATCTCTTTCTCTGCCTATCCTGTGGCTATTTTTAGCACCTCGTTTCCCACACGACTTTTGTCATTGATGCCGAGGATGCGTGTTCTGACTGGGAGTCCCGCACTTGACTTTTCTGCCTACAGGAAGACGAGATCCTGCCAGCGAAATTCGATGAGAACTCGCTCGTCTGGGTGGCTGCAGAGCAGCCGATTAAGAACATCCATTTCCTGAGTCCCAGGATTTTAGAGCTTTGCGGAGACCTTCAGATATTCTGGCTGCGGCCGTCCTATCCCAAAGGTAAATTTCCTCCCACACAGCGGCTCACTTTACGCCTTCCTTGCCATATGTCGGGAGCAGCTGGGTTATTTTTGTTCAGGGCGTTCTTACCCCATCCTTCTTCCGAGGAGCTCAGGGGGGCATACGCTGGTGTCCTCTCCTTCATTTGACCATCACAACAACCCTGAGAAGTAGGCTTGGTTAAGAGAGAGTGACCAGGCCGAGGCCACCTATGGAGCTGTGTGGCTGAGTGGGGATTTGAACCCAGGTCTCCTGGTCTGACACTTTTAACCACTGCACCGAGCTGTCTTGGCTTGTGATTTCAACAGAGCTGAGGGTTAGGCGCTTCTACCCTTGAGGGGCCTTGTTCTGAATCAGGCCATTCGCTCCACTGGTCTTCAGCTGGAGGGACGTATCACCAAGCCAGCAAATATCTACATTTGCTCAGCTTTTTTCTCACACTGGGGACTCAAAGCACCCTGCAGATCGAAAGGCACATAAACATCGTGGTGGTGGTGGTGGTGGAAAGTTCTATCAAGTCACAGGTGACTTGTGGTGGCCTTGTCGGATTATCAAGGCAAGAGACGTGCAGAGGTGGTTTGCCATGGCCTGTCTCCGTGTAAGTGGCCCTGGACTTCCTTGGTGGTCTCCCATCCAAGGCCCACCCTGCTTAGTTTCCGAGATCTGACGAGATCAGGGTAGCCTGGGCCAGGGCAGGTAAGGTGAACGGAAGGGGTTTAGATCCAGATGGGCAGCCGTGTCCGTCTGTCTGCAGCAGCAGAAAAGAGCCAAAGTCCAGGAGCACCCTGAAGACTAACAAAATTGGTGGCAGGGGAGGAGCTCACATTTGCAGATACTTCTTCACTCCTTCAGAAGTGGTTTGCCATTGCCTGCCTCTGTGTCACACAGCCCTAGATTCTCCTGGGGGGGGTGTCTCCCATTCTATTACTAACCAGGGCCAGCCCTGCTTGGGGTAAACGAAAGAATACAATCCACGGGCTCCCTCCCTCCAGGAGTTAAAGGTGGATTCTGGACAGGGCTTTTTTTGTGTGTGTGTGCAAAAGAGGTACCAGAACTGTCAAGAGAAAAATGAAGTTTTCAGTCTGTATGCTGAAAACTCATGAACTTTTAAACATTTTTTATTGTTTTACCTGGCATTGTGCCCTGTTAGCCGCCCTGAGCCTGCGGGGAGGGAGGGATAGAAATCTAAATAATAAATAAATAAACATTTTAAAAAGAACTTTGTCAAAAAGGTTCCAGAACTCCATTCCAGCATGTTCCCCAAGGAAAAAAGGGCCCTGGTCCTGGATCTGAAACGCTTGCAGATTGCTGTTGGGCTGTAGGTCTCCAAGGTCTTGCCTGGTCTTCCTCGAAGGTGATGAGGAAGCTGGGACCTTTCTCTGAGCACCCCATGACTTGAGCCTCTAACAGCTACGGACATCTCCTGGGGACGTCACCCCATCTAAGCCACTGAGCGTGCCTCTTCTTCGCTTCATGACTGAGAAGAGTCATAAAGCCTGACGGATGCATTGCCTGGCTTTTCCTTCTCTGGTTGTTGCTGAGTCATAGGGACGTGGCCTAGATTCTCTATGCTGGGGTGGAGCCATTGTGTGTGATGCATTCACTTATAGTGACCTCCTCTGGGCGTCGCAGGAAAGAGAAAGGAATTCACTTTGAACATCGCACTTAGCCTGCTGGGCCTACAAAGTTCAGGTTAGATCCCCTATGCAAGAAACTGGTAGACTCCGTGCCCTCAAGCCTGATACTCAAATGTCTGCTTGTACAGTTGAACAGAGAAGAAAGAGAGGAGCCACCAGGAGAAGACGCCAGACTGAATCGAATTTTGATCTGGACCAATTTGAAGCAGCCGCCAAGGAAGCCAACAGCCGGCCCCGTGGCCAGCAAAGAGCTCGGGAGCCAGAACGTCTGTCCAACGATACCAGACCTTCTGGGAGAGACGTCAGGCCAACCTTCAACCCAGACAACCCTTACCACGTGAGTACTGGTTAGCAGTAGACCCTCTCTTCACAGCCACTGGTCACACAGGTCATCTGTCCACTCCACGTGCAGGACGCTCCCTCCCCTCCACATTCCCTGTAGCTTCAAGCAGCTAAAAGGGAGCTGTGCCCTCATCGGCTGGTGTGTGTGGGGGGGAATGGCGGCTGTTGGAGGGGAGCCGCGGGTCCTCTGGAGAGCAGTGGCCGGGGCAGCACCTGTGAGCAGCCCTTCAGAGACCCCTTCGGTTGCAGCTGTTTCCACTGAGCACCATTTGAAAGCGCTTCCACTGAAAATCACACCAGGCACTTCACATGCCCCTTTGTGTAGAATTAATGTCTGCTGATAATGGACGACTTCCACTAGAGAGGGCTCCTGCTTGAAAGCATCTGTTAAACACTCGGCACAAAATGTATTTGCAGCAGGTAGGGTTTTTAGTACTCTGGGATTCCTTCTCTTGCACCTCCACGCCGTGAACTGGTGAGCAAGACCGGGAGGGGCTGGAGTACTTTGCCGGACCTGAAAAGTCCATCAGAGTCTGCAGGAAACAGATTTGTTCAAAGGCGCTCCCAACAGGCTGAGGCATCACAGGCCCCGAGGGAAGGTGTGTGGCTCTCCCCCCCCCCCAATAAAAGCTGTTTTGTGGCCTGGTTGGTCACCTAGGAGTAAATCTGCTCCCATCCCCCCCCCCTGCTGCTCTGCTGTGGCACTCTCAGCTCCTTCCCTGGTAGAATAAAAAACAGACATAGAAATAAAGAAGGGGGATCTTTCTTAGAAGATGCTTACCCCGTCTGCTTCTGGGCTGCTAACAACCGTGGTGTGTGTGTGGATGGGTGGGACGGACCAGATTAGCCGGGAAGGGAAGCCCACTGCATCCATTTGCCCCGCTGGCATCCTGGCCTTCGTCCCAGGAGCTCAGGGTGAGAGTGAGCCTCTGATCTTCCCAGCAGGCCTGTGAGAGTGACTGGCTGGAGGCCATCCGGTGAGCACTTTGGGCAAACAGGGAGCCAAGTTCCAGCCTCCCTCCTCCAAGTCTGCCTTCCAGCCATGCTGTCCGACTGGCTCCCTCCCCCAAGGAGTGGCTTTGACCCAGCTGGACTCCCTGGCTCAGTGCAAGATGGTTCCCCTCACCCATCACAGGGAGCCAGACCAGGCCATGGCAGGGCGGTCACCGCCGGGAGGTTGGCTTTCAAAGGATTATTTTGGAAGTGAAATGTGATGACCCCAAGCAGGAGTTGCTCTGTGAGTGAGGTCAGCCACAAGAGTTACCTGTCTGGTAGTGTCTCTGCAGCAGTTGAAAGGGATGGACGCCCGCGAAGGGAGGTCTGTGTGGCCGAGTGACTGAGAACGCTGCTCTCCTGTTAACTGCCCTCCTCCCTCCTCCCCCCCCCCGTAGGAAGCTGTGATAAAGAAAGCTCTGCCAGTCCGTACCACCATATGACAGTTCTCTGAAACCACTTGGAAGTGATTTCAGTTTAATAGGAGATAAAAGATATGTCTGATTAAAGTTATTGCATTATAATAATTTAATGAGAGCTGATGCCGTTTATCCCAGAGAGATAGCGGAAGAAGGATGAAGAAGTAGCAAGTCAGCAAGTGAAAAGCCCGTCTGTTTGTGATGGCACGATACGGTGCCCTCCGGGCTCCCTCTCTCCCTAGAGGGCTCCGCAGAGCGGCTCTTTTTGAGCAGGAAGGCAGGGGCGTCCGGCTTTCACAGGCTCTCCACATGGCCCTTTGTGCAGGTAAACTGGAGAAGGCCAGTGCTGATTCCCAAGCAGTGCCTGTAGGGCACGGGGGTCCCCAGCCCTTTTGAGCCTGCAAACACCTCTGGGAGTCTGACACGGGGCAGTGGGCCCAGCCACAGAATGGCTGCCTGCCGCAGAGGCAGAGCCAACACAAAATGTCAGGGAGGGAAGTTATATATAATTCTAATAGTACCTCTTCAACATTTCAGGCAGAAGCTCTGTGTAACAGCATGCCTTTTAATCTCCACAGCCAATCAGAAGCCCTGCTGGGCAAGAGCCCTGTAATGATTTCATGTTTAACTGTGTGTGTGTGTCTTTAAAAGTTTGGTTTGCATGGCTGTGATGATAATCTAGAGTGCTGGAATCAGGCAAGTGATATGATTGGTGAGTGACAGAGAGGGGGAGGGGTTTTGGAATGGATGCGGTGTGGATGATTTGAATGTCTATCATGGGTGACTGTTAAGAGTTTTGACAGTTGAAGTTCAGTTAAGCTATGTATGGGAGAGAAGGAGAAGCTTCCCTGTGTGGGTTGTTAAGTTCTATGTCTTAGAGTTGAATAAGACAGTTGATAAGGAGTTGATTCTGAGGTCTGAAGGAGAGAAACAGTGAATTCACATGACCCTGATACCAGCACTAACTGTCAAGAGCCTGGGGGTGATTCCGGATGCCTCCCTATCAGTGGAGGCCCAGGTCATCAGTGTTGCCAGACTGGCATTCTTGCAGCTGCACAACTGGCCCCTGTCCCACCCTGATCTAGCCACAGTAATGTATGTAATGGTCACTTCTACGCTGGACTACTGTAACTCGCTCTATGTGGGCCTACCCTTGAGACTGACCCAGAAACTGCATCTGGTCCAGAATGTGGCAGCACAGCACCCTTATAGGGATCCCGGAAACAGCACACATTCAGCCTGTGCTGCGTGAGCTACACTGGCTCTGGGTGGAGCACCGGATCAAGTTGAAGATTTTGGTGATAACCTTTAAGGCCTTTTAATGGTCTGGGACCCACGTAGCTTCAGGACTGCCTCTCCTGGTAGACCCCCAAAGAGCACAGCGCTCAGTGGATAAGAATCTGCTAGTGACCCCTGGCCCCAGAGACTCCTGGCTGTCCTCAGCAGCTCTGTCCTGCTCCGATCCAGCCACAGTAATGTAATGGTCATCTTCAGGCTGGAGGACTGCCGTTACCTGGTGGAACTCTTTGCCGAATAACATGCAGTTCCGCACGGCCTGTACAGTGGAGATGTTCCACCAGGCATTTGGTTGAGGACGGGGGCATTTCCTACCTGCCTGGCGCTCTGTTTCTCGTGTCCTCCCCCCCCCCCCCAAACAATCAGAATTTTTAGCACCATCCATTTAGGTTAATTTATTTTACTTTTATTCTTTTTGTTATGAATTATTATATGAATGTTGTACACCCCCCTGAGCCCTGTTCACAGGGGAGGGTGGTTTAGAAACCACGTTTAATAATAATAAATAAATAAATAAATAATATACAGTCCCCAGAATGGTGAGGCAACAGACAAGAATTCTCCCAGGGAGCTGAGTTCAGAGCAGCAATTCCAGGGCTTCTGAGAGGATCGTGGCTGTTATGAACCTCCTTTCCTAACACTTCCTCAGGGAAAGGCAGGGGCCCCCCCCCAATGTTCTGCCTCAGAGAGTTCCTCGGTTTCACATTAGCCAAGATAGTGTTGTCTTTCTTCCTCATGACCAGGAGACGAAGCCATACTCAGAACACTTCCCTGGGAATAAGCCCCGTGGAATAGACTCAAGTAGGATCCTGAGTGTGGAAGGTGGCTTGGTGTAGCCCGGTCTCATCATATCTCGTAAGCTCAGCAGGGCCAGTACTCGGAAGGGAGATGGACAGGGAAGACGCTGCAGACGAAAGCCGTGGCCAGCCAACCCCCTCTGCTTCTCACCTGCCTTGAAAGGCCCTTGCTGGGGTTGCCATAAGTCGGCTCTGCATGGACAGCACTTCACTCACACACAAGCTTCTGTATATAATCTGGGTCCCTTTCTCCTCCTTTCCGGTCTGTCGGGAAGCATCCTACATAAACCCCTGTTGCACCTTTCCTCTCTCTCTGCCCCCTTCACACCTTCAGAGTGAACCAACAAGAGGTATGACTCCAGTAACATGGATTCAGTCTGAGATGGAACCTCCTAAAGCTTGTTCTTAATTGTTCTGCAGTAGTTGCAGCCTAACTGTTCTCAAATAAATTGTTCTTGAAGAAAAAGCACCTCTCTCGCAAGAGAAATGGGTCGCATTCAGTCCCAAACCCAGTTTCGGCCCAGCTCTTCGCTCTTGCTCTTCAGAACCTGTGTCCTCCCTGTGGTTGCTCACAGGACATCCAGATCCAGACCTATGACTGGAATTTGTTGTCCAGGCGCACAGTCGAGTCCGACTCTTTGTGACCCCATGGACCAGATCCCGCCAGCCCCTCCTGTCTTCCGCCGTCCTCTGAAGTGTGCTCAATTTCATGTCCGTTGCATCGATGACACTGTCTAACCATCTCATCCTTTGCCGTCCCCGTCTTCTTTGACCTTCAATCTTTCCCAACATCAGGGTCTTCTCCTCCAGTGAGTGCTCCCTTCTCATTGGGTGGCCAAAGTATTTGAGCTTCAGTTTCATTAACTGGCCTTCCAGGGAACAGTCAGGGTTGATTTCTTTGAGGATTGACTGATTTGATCTTCTTGCAGTCCAAGGGACTCTCAAGAGTCTTCTCCAGCACCATAGTTCAAAAGAATCTATTCTTCGGCGCTCGGCCTTCCTTATAGTCCAACTCTCGCAGCCATACATGACTACTGGGAATACCATTGCTTTGACCATGCGGACTTTTGTTGGCAGGGTGACGTCTCTACTTTTTATCATGCTGTTGAGGTTTGCCATCGCTTTCCTCCCAAGGAGCAGGCGTCTTTTAATTTCATGGCTGCTGTCACAGTCTGTGGTGATCTGGGATCCCAGGAACGTGAAGTCTGTCACCACTTCC